TTTGTCAAACAAATGAGCAAAGTTCCCATAGATAGGTGGGACAGTGTCCAGGAAATACGGAAATGATTCCCACCTAGAGGTCTCGTGAGCTGCTTTGCAAGGGGTACGGTACAGAGAGACTGTTGAACAGGATGGGGTGCTAAGCTAACTGTGCATCTAACCCACCCCCCTTTCTTATATAGAGTCATTCCTACACAAACTTCAGGAGCATGGAGATCAAAATGTACCTGGAAATGTACTGTAGATCTCAGTTGACTGGTAGAATGTCTTTCCCACTATGAAGGCCTAAGATTTGGGCAGATGGCAAAGCAGGCTAAAAATAACATAAAATATACAAAACATCATCGCATCTTCCTGCAGGCGGTAAAAACAACTTCTTAGGCCGGCAGCAAAGCTCCAAATAAAAAGTGCACTGAAATGTATTTTGCAGGATGGAGATATTGTCTGAAAGAGCACCTGAGTACTTTCCTGAATTTATAGGCTGCTTTGTGGCTGTTCGATTTTGTATCAGGCCAAGTAATAAAGCCATTCAGTCGTTCAACAGACGTTTATAATCTAGAGCAGTGGTTCTCTACCGGGGCAATTCTGTCCCCCCAGGGCACATGGGTGACGTCTGAAGACACCTTTGATTGTCACAGCTTGGCGGAGGGTGCTGTTGGCATCTGGGGGACGCGAAGGATGGTGCTAAACATCTTACAGTGCACGGAACAGACCCCAACACAAAAGAATAATCTGACCCCAAATGTTGAGGAACCTCAGAGAGGGAGATAGAAACCCATGGTAGCAGATAGTGAGGTTTCTATCCAAGTCCTAGGGAGTCGGAGAAAGCTTATCGGATGAGTGATACGCACACTGACACCTGAAGAAGAATTAGGAGTGAACTTAAATGGAAAACAGGATCCCAAGCAGAAGAAACGACTTAGGCAAAAGCCTGGAGATGAGCGTGTAAAGAACTGCAAATAGAGTAGACCTTCTCTAAAGCAACCTTCCCTTATATCAACTCTTGTAAAACAAACTGACTGCTGCCCACAGCACACTGAGCGTGCATGGTTGTAAGCCTGTGCACTTCTGTACCCCCAGATGAGTTAAATGCTTATCAAGGGTCAGCTGTGTTTGTTCCCAAGGCTGTTTATGCCAGTTTTAGTGTTATTGAATTGAATACCATGTAAACTCATGAAATATGATTGCGAAAAGAAAGTTGCTGTTTTTATTCTAAGTAGAATGCTTTGAAAAGATTTAATGAAGGTGAATCCTAAAAAGAAAATATTATCAAATTAGATATGGGTAAAACAACTTCAATAGCTTGAGGAGGAAAAAAAGTCTTTAAAAGACAGAAGAATTATGCACTCACATTGTTTCTCGAGTGTCAAGTCTATGATACATTTTTTGGAAGACTGCAACTGGAAATCATAAATAATCCATTATTGGTGTGGTTTATGCAAGAAAGATGACTCTCAACACCCATCAACTTACTGACACTCCAAGAAAAGGCCTTGGCCCTATTTCAAAACATTGCTGAATAAATGTACACTTATGTGTTTTGAAATAAAATATGCATCCCATGTATACAGCATTTTTATGGTTCTCTGTTTCACCCAACAATTTTTATTAATTTTATCAGATAACACAGTTTCTACCATATCTGGGTACAACTGAGCACAGGGCAAGCAGAGGATTTGGCCATAGATGAGGAACAAGAGGTGAACTGGGGCCTGATGAGGAGTCTCTTGTGCTTGGACCTTCGTCAGAAATAGAAGCCATGGGGCTTCCCTGGTGGCGCAGTGGTTGAGAGTCCGCCTGCCGATGCAGGGGACACGGGTTCGTGCCCCGGTCCGGGAAGATCCCACATGCCGCGGAGCGGCTGGGCCTGTGAGCCGTGGCCGCTGAGCCTGCACGTCCGGAGCCTGTGCTCCACAATGGGAGAGGCCACAGTGGTGAGAGGCCCGCGTACCGCAAAAAAAAAAAAAAAAAAAGAAATAGAAGCCATGAAAATTGTTTAATCAGGGAGTTACCTGACCACATAATGTGCTTTGGAAAGGTATCACCTGGCTGCACTGCAGAGCACGGATTGGAGGGAAGCAAGATGACAGGCCAGCAGTCCAGTTAGGAGGGCTCTGAAAGGGTTAGGGTTTCCTGTGATCATGGAATAAAGAAGTAGCATTCAGGTTCCAGAGACAAAAATGGATTCAAGGGATATTTATGAATTAGTATCCTAACTGATGGACTGAACATAGCATATGAGGGAGGCTTGCATCAAAAACCACACTTAAGTTCGGGGCTTGGACACCTGAGTCGCTGGTGGTGATATTCCTGAGACAGAAAACAAAACGGAAGAATTCGGCCAGGGTGGGAAGACGATGAGCTCAACTTTGGACACGTTGAACCTCAGAATCCTACGGGACATCCAAGTAAAATGCTGAGTTCACGGTTAGGCTCATGGGTGTGGCGCTCAAAAGGAAGTCTCAGGCTGAATACTTAGACTTGTGAGTAATCAGCATATAGGAAAAGAATTGGAGTCAGAAACAAAATCGCCTGGCTAGGAAATGAAAAGTTGGCCTAAGACAAGATACATAAAATATTCATACGAATCAATAAGAAAAAGACCCAATAAAAGAATATGCAAAATACATAAGAAAAAGATACTTCTCAGAAGAGGAAAAACGTGAAACAAATCAATACGTGAAATTCAACTGTCTTACCAGTCAAGAAAATGCGATTAGTGTCACATGAGATCATTTTCATGCCACTATATTGACAACAATTAATAAGTCTAACAATGTCAAATATTGGAAAGGATAAGGATTTGAGGGAGGTCGTACTCTCCTGGCAGGACTGTACCTTTCCAACAGCTTTGGAAAACACTTCGGCATTATCTTACAGAGTCTACCCAATAATTCTGTTCACACATATGACCCTAGACACAGTCTGGAATACATGCACCAGGAGACATCTGCCAAAAAGATTCAGCACAAATGTTCATAATAGCACAATACAAGAAGCTCCCGATAGGGTCAACAACAGGGAATGGATGAAGCATGGTCTATTCACAAAAAGCATGGTTACAAAGAAGTAAAAAAGCATGAACTGCACATACAGGCAACAACATGAGGGAATCTTGGAAACAACGTTGAATGGAAAAGAAAGAATCCCAGAAGATTTCAATTGGTATATTATTTTAACAAAACTTCAAAAGAGCAAAACTAAACAAAATATCATTTCTGTATTTATGCATTGTGGATAAAACAAAATGAAAAATCCGAAGAACGGTCAAGAAAATTTAAGATAGTGATTCTCTCTGGCGGGAGAGAAGAAGCAGGACACAGGGAGGAAGAGGGAGCATGTGGGTAGATACAAGTTAGGGAATGTATCCTTCAGGTTCATGGATACTTATTATATTACTGTAATGTATAACTTACATATAGGTTATGAATATACTTTTGTATAAATCAAATAGCTTATTAAAACTAATAAAGAAAAATGAAAAAGTTGCTCTTAGATATACAACTTGTGTCCTGTTCTGGACTCAAACACTGCATGGTTTATTCCTTGGTTAAAATTTTTAGTGAACTGTGTTTTAGGACTTTAACCTCCTTCACCATACGTACAAACTTGCGACCCAACCCTAGGATACATACAGGACCACAGCGTGTGTGTTTTTGGGTGATAAAATTATTTATGGCTTCACTTTATTAATATTTTCCCATCACCCTGACTCATTCAATTATTTATTTTCATTCCTTTAGATGCATTTGTGTAAGCTACCTCATATGCCTTGTGGACTGAAGCAGGGTGAAAATAATCAAACGTAAAATACTCTATCCCACGGGGGAGAAAAGCAACTCAAATTCTGTCACATTTTTTCCCATTTATGGCAGAGAATGCAGAAATGTGGGCAGTTCCTTTCTTCTGATTGGCAAGGTGTTGCAAAACGTCTACCAGAGCTCCTGGCAGCCAGGAAGAAGGTAGCCAGAAAAGTCACTCACCGGTTGTGTCAGAGAATGGACTGGGGGCTCATTAAGCCCAGAGCTCTGGATCCTCAGCCAGGGTCTCGGGGAAAAATCAGATACAGTTCTGAGAAGGCTCCTAGAGGCCCTGCACCATGAAGTGGCCCAAGCCCCTGGACCACACTGCTCCATCAGTCTCCTGCTGACCACCTGCATGGCCCCCAGCCCTCCAGGCCAGGGAGAAAAGGGACCCCATATGGAGGCACCCTCACCCACTACCCACTGGTGCCTGAAGAAGCAAAGGGTTCTAGGCTGGGTATTGGTGCCTATTCCACAGCGGGGCAAGGCCACTCTTCGAAAGATGTTACATCCAACTGCCAGGAACCTGCTGGGTCCTGTCTGTGTTCTAAGAATTTTCTGCATCCCAGAGGGGTTCAGGATCATTGGCCTCTGACTCTATAGTAACGTACTAAAACTGACAGAAGCCACAGACCAAGGCCTGGGTCAGCAGTCCTGACTCCCCACCCAGTCCCAGGGGGCTCCAGAAAATAAACTAGGCATTGGAATCCCAATATGGGGGCAACAGTCTGCTTCAAGCTGTAAGGGAAGGGCTGGGAGAGGCTCCCACCACCTATGCTTCCCCTTGGTCCACAGATGGCTGTGACCGCACAACCCCATGGTAACCCTCGTCCACTGTTCCTCCCTGCAGAAGCCCCAGTGCTCTCTGTAATGAAGAAACTGGGAAAGAAGTTGGCCTCCTCCAAGCTTATTCAGACCTCAGAATAGTCCTCCTTCTTTACCACCTCCTCTTCCTGTGGTCCCTTAGCTCTGGAACCAGTTCTGTGCAGAATGAATCTTTAGGAAGTCTCTGCTCAGAGGCACCTACAACTTTGTCTCTAGAAAGACGGCAAGTAGAGAACAGCTTTCTAAAGATGTCCAACTCATTCTGAACACAAAGTAAGCCATTTGGTCTGTGTAACACCTCAACCATCTTCCGGCCCCCATTCCGAAACCACCATGCGATACCAGAGAAAACATTATGTTTTGAGGACTCACCAGCAGCAGCATACCCTCTGGACCAAACCTGCCTGCTCAGATGCCACGAGGTAGAGTTCTTGGGCCCCGGCACAGCTATCCAACAGCCTAGACATTACAGGATGCGGTGTTAAGAGTCTGTAGTGAAAGAAATGTCAGACCCCTGCAATATCCAATCACTCCATAGCGCCTGCTCTCCCGAGAGGGTAGAAGCCAAAGAAATGGTCCTGAGACTGCTTCCCACTTGAGAAATGAGACAATCAGGGCCTTAGGTCTGAGTCAACCCAGGAGCACACACAGTCTCTTAAATGGGTCCAAGGTGAGCAGGGGACGTGTTCATACATGGCCACCTTTAATGGCTCTCCCCCTGCCTAGGCTTCTGGCTCTCAACCCTATAGAGAGATGTGACCCCCGCACTCACCGGCCAAGGGATTTTCTCCAGGCTTTTCCTCCCACCTTTGTTCTTACTGATGTAGAACAGTTGCAATTTTGAAGTCGAACAGTAGAAAGGTGACAGCATCTGTGAAAAATGTTATTGAAAAATGTAGCTTCCTCCCGCTGGTGCACACCCAGTTTCTTCCTCTCTGCCCAGAGCCTTCTCCTGGGCAGCCCACCATGCTTTCTCACTTGGCTTCTCCCCAAGACACCCCCTCTCACATCAGAGGGAGGGGTTCCCAGGCCTGACCCTGGTTGCTGGCACACCACAGCCCAGACCCCTGCTCTTGGAGCTGTTTAATAAAGTTAAGAAATAATATACAAAGGTATGCATTTTTACCATTATTATCCTGAGCAGAGAACCCTGCTTAACTGCTCCCTGACAGCCGACTGATTTCCAATCTCGGTTTTATATTACATTTGCAGAGCATAAGCTTTTCCCTAGGTCAGCATCACCAAAGTGTATTCCTCAAAAGAGAGGGATTTCATGGCTTGAATATACCTATTCGTTTGCATAGTAGATGCTCCTACAACTTTCACATGATTATTCATATTCTAACTTCTCATAAAGCCAGTTTTACTGGCTTTCACCTATTTCCCATAACATCTATAAGCATCTCTGAGAACAAGAGTTCTGGAGAATACACTTTGGACAATGCTGTCCAAAGCTTATCTTTGAACTGAGATTGCAAGTTGGACATTCTTTCAATCTATCCCTGGAGGACTTTGTGAGGTCCTTCCTCAACTTGGGTGAACAGAGTGACCAAAAGATTTCTTATTGAACACCTGTTACTCCTCTCTTTTTTTCCTTTCTGTAATTAAATCTTGCTCACAGTCACACACTAATATAAATTAAAGCCACAATGAGATATCACCAGATACCCATCAGAATGGCCAAAACAAAAAACAGTGACGATATCAAATCCTTGTGAAGAGGAAGAGAAACAGAATTACCTCTCCGTTCACTGCTGGTGGAAATATAAAATGTGGCAGCCATTCAGGAAAACAGTTTGGCAGCTCCTTATGTAACTGAACATGCAACACCATACAACCCAGCAATTGTACCTGTGGGCATTTATCCCATAAAAATGAAAACGCATATAAACACAAAAACCTGCACATGAATGATCATGGCCGCTTTACTTGTAACAGCCCACAACTGAAAACGGCCCAGAAGTCCTTCAGCGGGTGAAAGGTTAAACAAATGATGGTACATGCATACTGAGGAATACTACTCAACAAGAAAAAGGAATGAGCTATTTTTATACAATAAAGTGTGGATGAATCTCAAGAGAATTATGTTGAGTAAAGAAAAGGCAATCCCCCTAAATTATGTATGGTATGATTCCATTTATATAACCTTCTTGAAATGACAAAATTACAGAGATGGAGAAGAGATTAGCGATTACTATAGGTTAGAGACAGTAGGGGCTGGGCAGTGGGAGGAAAGTGGTGTTTCCCTCTAAAGGGGGAAACAAAGAATCCTTGTGATGAGCAGCTGTTTTATATCAGGACTGTGAGAGTGGACACAAGAACCGACATATGTGATAAAATTGCATAGAACTAAACACACACACACACAAATGAGTATGTGTAAAACTGGGGAAATCTAAATAAGATTGGTGGATTTTACCAACATCAATATACGGACCGTGATATTGTACTTTAGCCTTGCAAAATGTTACCATTGGGGAAACCGGGCAGAGTACCCGGGATCTCTCTGTATTGCTCTTTAAAATTGCATGTGAAGCTACAGTTATCTCAACTTGAGGGCAGAGACTATATAAAAGGTTAAATGTACAGATGAATTTTTCATGCCTCCAATGTAGGCAAGGTGATATTTCATAACCTACTGATATGCTAGTTGTGTCTCTTCTAGGAGAAAACAAGAAATAATGTTAATTATAATGAAGGGATTCTTGTTAGACAGGGGAATTTCTCCCAATCAGAATGCTAATGACCAGAGGCTCTGCAATCTCCCTCCGGGGATGGGACACAAATTTGCACAGCATTTGCTGTTTTCCTGGGAGGCCTTCCACAAACTACTAGCCCCCCCACCCCCGCTTCTCTCTGCTTCACAGCACCCGTCTGTGCCATTCTGTATCACATACTGTTTATAAACTCCATCATCTTGTCTGTCTCCCATGCAAAGTGAGCTCTGTGCGAGAAGGATTTTGCTATACTGTTGAATACCATGTGGCCCGATACAAACATGATCAAAATTCAGTAATTTTAAAAACAAAATATCTTAAAAGTAGTACGGAATCCTGTCTTTGGAAAGCTTTCCCTTGTTATCTTCATGGGGACAGGGAGATGGATGAGATGACCTCACCGGTCCCTTTCACTAGAAGAGTCAGTGGTCCTCTTTGTTCACAGCTGTTTCCTGTATCAGGGACTTCACAATACTGTTCCCTAATCTGGGAAGGGTTTCCCACCAACACTTAGTTATTTGGGGGTTTTTTTTGAAAGCTTTTTTTGGGTAATCGACACATAATAAACTGCATGATTTAAAATGTAAAAATTTGATAATTTCTACATATATATACACCCATGAAACCAAACCATAATCAAGCTAATGATATATATATACACACACATATGTATGTGTGTATGTGTATAAATATATGTAATATATATTATATGGACATATGCTTATATAGTCTATGGATATATAAATGGATATATAATCACTTCAAAAGTTTCCTCAGCCCCACCCTGACATTCCATCCCCAGACAACCACTGATCTGCCTTCTGTCACTATAAATTAGTTTATATATTCTAGACCTTTATATAAATGGAAACCTACACTATATACTCTTTTATGTCTGGCTTCTTCCACTCAGGATAACTATTTTGGGATTCTGACATGTTGTTGCAGGTGTATCAATACTTCATTACCTCCTTATTGATGACTGTAGTCCATTGTACGAATATACCACAACTTATCCACTCACCTGTTAATGGACATTTGAGTTGTTCCCAGTTTTAGGCTACTACAAACAAAGTTGCTATGAACATTCAGTAAAAGCCTTTGCTTTTAATTCTCTTAAATGAATACTAGGATGATAACGGCTGAGTCCTATGGTACCTGTGTCACTTTTTTTTTTTTTTTTTTTTTTTTTGCGGTGCGCGGGCCTCTCACTGTTGTGGCCAATCCCATTGCGGAGCACAGGCTCCGGATGCACAGGCTCAGCGGCCATGGCTCACGGGCCCAGCCGCTCCGCGGCATGTGGGATCTTCCCGGACCAGGGCACGAACCCGTGTCCCCTGCATCGGCAGGTGGACTCTCAACCACTGCGCCACCAGGGAAGCCCTTGTGTCACTTTTAAAGAAACTGTCAAACATTCCATAGGGAATGCATGTTTTACATTCCCACCAACAGTGTATGAAAGATACAGGCCTTCCATATCCTCGTCTGCACTTGGTATGGTCAAGCTCTTAAATTTTAGACATTCTAATAGGGCTGTAGTTGTATTTCATTGCAGTTTTAATTTGTGCTTTCATTTCGCTAATAACAAACAACGCTGAACATCTTTCCACGTGCTTTTCTGCAGCTATATATCTTCTTTGGTGAAGCACATGCTCAAATCTTTTGCCTATTTTTTAATTAGGTTGTTTATTTTCTTAATAAAGAGATTTTATATATTCTGGGTACTAGTCCTTTAATAGATATGTGCTTTGCGAATACTTTTTCCTTGTGGCTTGCCTGTCTTAGTGGTGTCTTTAGATCAGAAATACTTAATTTTGGTGAAGTCTATTTTAACAATTTTCCTTTCATGGATCATGCTTTTGATGTTGTGTCTAAGAAATCTTTGCCTGTCCCAAGTTTAAGAAGATTTTTCTCCTTAGTTTTTTCCTAGATGTTTCATAGTTTTAAGTTTTACGTTCAAGTTCTATGATGCATTCTGAGTTAATTTTTGCATATAGAGCAGAGAATGGATCAGAGTTCTTCTTTTAAATATACGGATATCCCATTGTTCCATTACTATTTGTCAATATTGCCTTTGTACCTTTGTCAAAAATCGAGGGACAACTTCCGGTTTCCAGTCACACATGTTAGGGGCTTGGAAGTCATCAATCCCAACTTCACAACAAGAAAAAATGCTAACAAACTAAAAACCAACTGCTCCTCTTAGATCTGTCAGAGAATTGAGGTCAAAGGACAAATCGCAGGGCTTCCCTGGTGGCGCAGTGGTTGAGAGTCCACCTGCCGATGCAGGGGACGCGGGTTCGTGCCCCGGTCCGGGAGGATCCCACATGCCGCAGAGCGGCTGGGCCTGTGAGCCATGGCCGCTGAGCCTGCGCGTCCGGAACCTGTGCTCCGCAATGGGAGAGGCCACAGCAGTGAGAGGCCCGCGTACCGCCAAAAAAAAAAGGCAAATCGCAGTGACAGGTGCATACAGAGAAACAGAACTTACAGGAGCAAACACCCTAGCTGGAGCCCAGTAGGAACACTTAAGGGATAACTAACTAATTTCTGCGGACGGAGCTGTGGTCTGGCTTGAGCGATTAAAAGCTCCTGGGAGCCCAGTCTTAGGCAAGCCCCCTACACCTTCATCAGTTTACCCTCCAGGAACCCCATGAAGTTCTCAGGGCAGAGATCAGAGAAAAATCTCCTCACACTTTCAACTGGAGAGCAGTAATCATCTTGTAACATGCCCAGAGTTCTCTCTCTCTCCTTAACAAAGGTCTGCCTTCACGGGAGACTATTCCACCAGAGCCTGACTGAGCTGGGAGAAGCAGTATGCCCAACACCAGCCCCTCTGGCTGTCAACGTGGTGACGGGAAAACCGAACTCCAGCCTCCTCTAGCTTTCCAGTCCTGCCTGAGAGGGCACAGGGAGAAGCTGAGAAGCAGTCGTGAAGGTCATTGCCCAGAGGTACAGGCTCACGGTCACATGATTATGACTGAGACATAGTCAGGTGATCACAGAATGCTTCCCCTCCCCCCTTCACCCACACATTACCACCGTCTCATTAGGGCTCCTGCGTAATAAAGGGACTGCCGCTAATAGAACTGCGGACTTCATTAAAATTTTCAACTTTGCTCTGCAAAAGACTCTGTGAAGAAAATGAAAAGACAAG